TCTTCACTTCTTCACTTCTTCACTTCTTCACTTCTTCACTTCTTCACTTCTTCACTACCACCTCTCGTCCACCCTCAACCCCCTCCTGCTCGTCGGCCTCCGCCCATCTGCACTGCATCACCTGCTCACTCACTCTCGAGTCTCGTCGGAAAGGCTTGCCACGCTTGCAACAAGCTCTCTGGTCAGTCAGCTCTACTCCAATTCCCCGTTCGTCCAAACACCATCACCATCAGCACAACGCAACAAACTCGACCTGACTGGAATGCCTGACCACATCTCGCGTACACGTGCTTCAAGCGTTTGGTCGGCACCTGCAGTGAGATTGAAAGCAGCAGTCTTGGCACGTCCATAAAAGCTCTGCCATCTGCCATCTGCTCTCCACTCTCCACTCTCCACTCTCCACTCTCCACTCTCCACTCTCCACTCTCCACTCTCCACTCTCCATCTTCCCTCCACCACACTCCACCTGCACCTTTCCACCTCCTTCCCACTTCCTTCCAACCCTAATCCAATCCACTTGCTCCATCCCGCAACACACACCCTGACTGTCAACAAGACTCCACGCACCGTGTCCAGTCCTTGCAGCTCACGTTGAACTCGTACGTACTCCACCTGCACCCTGCACTGTCTCACCGCGAGTCCTTTGTACTCAAGCTGGGACTGAAAAGCATCCTCACTGACACAAAGGATCCGACTTCCAGAAACACTCAACCTCAGCTTCGTTGTCGACGCGATCAGCCAGTCTTGTCCTCAAAAGCAAGCTAGTAAGTTCATTGGCATCCCTCAGCTTCCAAAACACCCAGCACCTCCAGCTCCACTTCTCAGCACCAATTGCACCATCCCCCAGCATCACCTCCCAGCACCGCGCCTCAGTCCTCTTGAGCAACATCAACATTAACGTCAACGTCAAAGTCAAGTGTTGGTGGAAGCTTTGACCTCGATCCTCCTCGAGCAAAGCCAACATCAACAGTTGCTGCTCACCTTGTCCTTCTCATCTCCTCGGCAACCTGCATCTTCTCCCGAGCAATTGCAGCCGCTCTTCACTTCACCTGCATCTGCAACTGTACCTCCCCACCACCTGTTCCTCCATCTGCAGCTCACCTGACAACAAACTCGTGCCTTCCCGCTCCAGCCCGCTTCATCATCGCAATCAATTGAGGATCATCATCGCTGACAGCTCTTGCCTAGCCACTCTCATTGCTCTCACCTTCATGGCGGGTGCAAGCAAGCAGCGCGCTAAGCGCCAGCCCATCGATGACGCCAACTCAGCTCAAGCTTCGGGTCACCATGACGCTGAAGGCTCTGCATATGGCCGTCCCTCCGATACCTCTGTTGGCCGCGTTGACGGCAACTCCGAACCTCGCCCTCGGGGGCCCCAGTACGACAATTCGAATGGCCCAAATCGCAACCCAAATGAAGAACCGGAGGGAGTCATCGTTGATTCTCGTCGCCTCGCCGATACTCTGGGCGTGACTGGCTACGCCGTCGTCCACAACAACAAAGTGAGTCTCCATCTTCATCTCTTTGGCTCTCTTGGCTCTCTACTGCCTTGCCTTGCCTTGCCTCCCGCTTCTTTTTCTTCGTTGCTCCTCCCTTCCCGACGCTACCCCTCCGCTCCATCATCACTTGTACTTGAAGACAATCAACAACACCATCACATCGTACACTTGACGTTTTGCGACATCATCTCCAACCGTCATCTTCAACACTCCTTGATGCAAGTCTCCTTCTTCCTGCAATGCGGCCTGCCTTTGGGTCGTCTGCCTGCCTGCATGGACACGTGCCTGCTTTTCTCTCTTGCTGGCCACCTATATATTCCTGCGCCTCCCGCCTCTTTCTCTCTTTTATCCACAACCTCCTCCACTGAAGGAACCTTCTATTACCCCTACGTTCTCTTCACAACCTCCACCAACCTCCCTTCTCTCTTTCATGCAGAATCTTCTTTTATCTTGCATTTCCCTCCACAATGGCTTCATATCCGGGCGGTCCTGCTGACTCCAAACAGGCGGGGATCGCAGGAGATCTTCCCAAGCGCGGCCCTCTCAACAACCAAGGCCGTGCCATCAAAGTTGGCCTCAACATGTTCCAGGTTGCCATGCTGCCGAGAAAGAAGATTTACCAGTATGATGTCCTCATTGGCAAGGGTGATGAAAAACGTGGCACCGTCCGTGCCGTTTGGGATTCGAAGAAGTTGAAGAGCGAGTTGGGTCCTGGTTGGATCTTTGATGGTGTCCGACTCGCTTGGTAGGTTATCTTTAGAATCTATTACATCGGAATATTTACTGATGCTCCTCAGGGCTCTTACGGAACGCCCCAATGTCAACATCCTCATTGATATGGACGAAGAGCGTGGACGCCCTCCGCGCGTAGGTCGCGACAATAACATCCGGGTTACTTTGAAGTGCACCAACATTGTTCACTTCGACTCCCTCACCGCGTACCTCAACCGCCAGGCCGACTTTGACAACTCCTGCCTGGAGGCGATCTCCTTCATCGACCATCTCATGCGTGAGCATCCCTCCCGCACTTACACCATGATCAAGAAGTCCTTCTTCAGCCGTGGACAAATCCGTAAGAATCTGGGTGGAGGCGTTGAAGCCTTCAAGGGTGTCTTCAGCTCCCTCCGCATGGTCCGTGGTATTGACTCACCTTGCCTCGCAATCAACGTGGATGTTGCCAACGGCACTTTCTTCACTGCCTCGGGCCTCTTGGACTCCATGGTGCAGGCGTGTGGCTGCCGAAATGCTGCCGACCTGTCCAATGTTTTCAACAACTCCAAGAATCATTGGAAGAAGTCGGACCTGTACAAGACGCTCAAGCGCTTCCGCAAGCTTCGCATCATTGTCAATCACCGTGGCACCGATGAGCAGTACACCATCAATGATTTCCTCGACAAAGATGTCACCACTTTTAGGTTCGAGCAGAAGACCTTCGACGAATCCGGGAACCAGACCTCGAGTACCATGACCACGCTTCAGAGCTACTTCCGGACCAAATACCAAATCAACCCGGTCCCCGGTTTCCCCATCGTGGAACTCACCAAGAAGGGTACGGTGCTGCCCCTCGAATGCTGCAAAATCCTGCAGAACCAACGGTACCCGTTCAAACTGAACGACACGCAAACTCGGGACATGATCGGTTTCGCGGTTCAGCCTCCAAAGCAGCGTTGGGAAGCCGTCCAGCATGGCCTCGACATGCTGGAGTGGGACAAGGATCCCTTCCACAAGAACTTTGGATTCAAGATCAGCCCCCAGCGCACCGAGGTCACCGCTCGACTGCTTCCGGCTCCGAACATCCTGTTCCAGAACGCCAAGATCGACGCGAACAAGGCTTCTGGTGGCCAGTGGCGCATTGACAAGATGAAGTTCCTCACTCCCAACACTCGTCCTCTTGTTGCCTGGGGGGTCTGCGTTGTGGACCCTAGGGGAGCTGGGGACAAGGCCGCCGCCGAAAACTTCTTCAAGAACTTCGTCCAGATCTACGCCACTTCGCACGGCGGCAACGTGGCAAGCAAGGAACCTGCCTTCGTGGCAGGCAATTCGAAAAAGGGCGGTGAGATGATCACCGAAGTTTGGAACTCGACCGGCAACAAGTTTAAGCAAAAGCCCCAGATCATCTTCTTCGTCGTGCCCAACAAGAACTCGGACACGTACCTTCGCATCAAGAAGTCCTGCGAAATCCGCTACGGCATTCCTTCACAAGTCTTGCAATCCGCGCACGTCATGAAGAACCAGGCGCAGTACATCTCCAATGTCTGCATGAAGGTTAATGCCAAGCTCGGAGGTTCGACGTGCAAGGCTTCTGGCTCGATCATGGCGAAGATTGGTCCGTCCCACATGAAGCTCCCGACAATGATCATGGGCGCCGATGTCTCTCATGTTGCTCCTGGTGCACCAGGCCAGTCCGTCGCGGCTATCACAATGTCCATCAACCGAGACTGCACCCGCTACGCTGCCCAGTGTGCTAGCAATGGCCAGCGCGTTGAGATCATTTCGACGGCCAACATTCGGAACCTTTGTGGGAAGATGTTCAAGATGTGGAGCGAGCTCGTTGGCAATGGTCAGTACCCGAAGCGTATCTATTACATCCGTGATGGTGTGTCTGAGGGCCAGTACTCCCATGTCTTGGACCAAGAGGTTCGGGACATGCAGGAGGTCATGCACACGCTCAACCCGAAGGCCGACACCAAGTTCACTGTGATCATTGCGTCCAAGCGCCATCACATTCGATTTTTCCCTACGCAAGGCGACCGCAACGGCAATCCGTACCCGGGCACTCTCGTCGAGACTGGATGCACCCATCCTTTCGAGTTCGACTTTTACCTGGCCGCCCACGCTGCCATCAAGGGCACTACGCGTCCCATCCACTACCACGTCCTCAAGAATGACTGTGAGATGCGCTCCGAAGAGCTCCAGCAAATGATCTTCGAGCACTCCTTCCAGTATGCTCGTGCGACGACTGCTGTCTCTCTGCACCCGGCCGTCTATTATGCCCATCTGGCTTCCAACCGTTCCAAGGCCCATGAGGACAAGGCCGAGCTGTCCAGCGGCAAAAAGGAACTCATGAAGAAACAGACTAGCGCCAGCGGCTCTGGAAGCGCTCCTACTGATCTCTACGAGATTCTCCCCATGAAGGGCGATCTCAACATTGATTCTGGCATGTGGTACATCTAGACCACTTCAACAATCTCGTCTACGGCCCAATGTCTCATCGTCGGTTCATTCTCTCAGGATTTTCTCGCTGCTCGGATTGTTGTTTTCATGGTTTGTACGGAGCTGGGCTTAATTGACTGGTCCCCATCTACTTCATGATCTCGATTCATTTTGAGCGGCACCTCGGTCACCCACTCGGTTTGCCGATTATTCGGTGTTGCACGAGGCTGGACTTGATTGACTGGCCATGGTCTACTTCGCATGATTCGACTTGCTGATGGGTTTGTTTTCTTTGTTTCAATGGGGTTTTCTTTTATGGGCGGCTATCTCTCCTTTCATCATCATGGCAGCATTGATACGGCGGTTCAATGGAAGGGCATGGAGTGGAGGAAAAAGTGTGGTTGCTTTTCTGAAATCTTCAACATATGGAGTTCTCATCAGTCTTATCTGTCTCTTTCCGAGCCTCCCACTGCTCTTGCAGTCGTGCTTGGGAGTTGACGGGGACCTTGCTTGCCGGGCGATAGCTTAGGCTTCTTACATAGGGTCTTCAATTGAATACCAAAAATTGCAAGTGCAATACTTGGTGACTTGTGAAATTTTTACAGCCTGAGCTTTGAAGGCAGTAGCTTCCACGAGGCGATTTTCGAGGCTTGTAACTCTTCGGCTGCTGAGGAGCTTTGCCAGGGCATTCGGTTGTAAGAGGTTTGTAAGAGGTTTGTGGTAAACTGGATGCTTGATGCTCACGAGGAGATTATAGTGCAGCCTGTGGAGCTGCTGAGAGGGTCATGCTCATGTGCCGGACAATCTCCCACAAGCTGCATGTGAACAAGCGTCATGCTTCTCTTCTGCG